AGCCCCCATGGCCGCCGGCGGGGCGCACAGAGCCCTGTGGTGCGGCCGCTGGGGTCCCAGTCCCGAGCTCCCGGCCCTGCTCTGTGGTCTCTCAGGCACCTTCGCTTTCCAGACTGTGCGCCGTTCGGTGTTCATTCTGCAGAGAGTTCTTTGTGGTACTTGGGAGATTGAAACCATTAGTTTGAGACCGGGTCTGGCTACCTTGCGGGCTTCAAACTTGCGATTTTGCCTCAGCCTCTTGGCTGGGATTACAGGATTCGTCTGCTTCACTATCCTGGCTCCTACTTCGGATTCTCTTCAAGGGTGGTTCTCGGGTGATTCTGGTTTCTGATCATATGCCTTCAGAGAGAGACCTTTGGCTGTCTCAACCACCTTAAGTAGAAGACCCTGAATACCTACCGCTATTCTCGATCCTCACGTGTTTTTCTGCCTAGCACCCGTAGTTTTATCGTGTTTTACTTATGTATTCCCCACTAATAAGTCTACTTCTTTCACTTTCGTTTCCTCCAGTGTCCAGCCCGCTACTTCATGCAGATAAGTTACCAGTGTCATGTATTGGGAGCTGGGAATGACTTCTGTAATAGAGCTTTGCTCCTTGTGCAGGAGACCCTGGGTTCCAACCCCAGCACCAAAACAAAAATAATTACTTGAGCTTATAGATGTGAGTATCTTTTACTCTATTCTGTTCCATTAATTTGTCTGTCCTAGGGCTAATTACTGTGGCTTATAGTAAACATTGAATTCAGGTATTACAAGTCCTCTAACTTTTCCTTTTTCAAGATTGCTTTTGCTATTCTAGGTCCTTTGCATTTTATGTTTTCTGATATAATTACAAGCCAGGAGATCCCAGCTACTGGGGAGGCTGAGGGAGGAGGGTGGCAACTTCAAGACTGACGACCTGGACAATTTAGTGAGAGGTAAAGAATTTACCAAGATCAGGATAGGAACAGACAAGAGTTTATCCAAATCAGAACACACTGTTGAAGTAAATCGGACACACAGGCTTAAATAAATTGCGTAGTTTCTCTTAATTACAAATAAAGAACAAAATGAGTAGGGAGATCAATGAGAAGGGGATCAAGAGATGGTGGAGGGAGAAGGGAAAGGGAATGAAAAAAGGAATCAAAACCCACAGATGTGGTGGCACATGCCTTTAATTCCAGCACTGGGAAGGCTGAGGCAGGAGGATTGCCGTGAGTTCGAGGCCAGCCTGGGCTACACAGTGAGTTCAAGGCCAGACTGAGCTGCAAAATGAGACCCTGTCTCAAAAAACTAAAAAGAACAATGTTATGTACCAACTCCACACAAGAAATGTAAACATTATGTTCTGCAAACACGCAAATACAAATCTAAAACAAGAAAAAAAAATTCCAAGAGAGGAAACATGTAGTTCAGATGAGACATTAGGGTTTTATAGGGGTTTGGAGACATGGGGAAAGAGTGTGGGCAGCCAATCTAGGTACCTTAGGAATGATTTTCTGGGCAGCCTGGTTCCTTGATGATTTTAGGAACACCTATATTGTATCTAAAAGTTGTATGTTAAAGTTACAAATTGACAAGGCCATTTACTTGGTCTCAAGGAAGTTTAGTTTTAAAAAAGATCACCCAGCATCTCTGAACCCTTCCAAATACTTCCCACAAGCCAATCTCAAAGGCTCCTGAACCGTATGGTCAGGTATAGTCACTGAACGACCCTACTTCTCTGGTACCAAATTCTCTTGGTTACTTTTTCTCTCATTGCTGAGACAAAATACTTGACCTCCAAAGTTGAAAGAAGGAAAGGTTATTTAGCTCAGAGTAGGGGTTTCAGTGCATAATCAGCTTGCTCCAAGGCAGGGTGGCTTGGCAGAGGGATGTCACAGAGGAGAGGAGAAACAGTTCATGCCAAACAGAAGATAGAAAAAGCAAGCAAACAAGTGACCGTAGCAGCATCTTTCTTCCCCTTTTACCTGCACCACTTAGGGTGGGCAGCACTCACATCCCTACTCCTAGTGCCCTTCATCCTAGCGTTGTGCCATGAATCAGTCCCAGTGACACTCTAGATTCAGCCACCTCTGAAAAAGCCCCACCAGTGACGGCATAAGGCTTTGGGGGACCTCTATACACAAAGCCATCACAGCCTCTATACACATTAACTCTTTGAGAAAGTATGAGTCCCGGCTCTTTGGGAGGAATGACTAGGTCTTACATATATTTTTATCTTGTGATGTTTCTAGTCTTCACTAGTGGAGTGGAGGGTTGAGGGCTATTTAAAAGCAAAGAAGACACAATTATTTTTTCTTTTCCTTTCTAATTATTAGCTAGAGATCAAACCTACAAAAACTTGGTTTCAAACTTTAGTTCAAAAGAATGTAAGGAGGGCTGGGGATTTAGCTCAGTAGTTCTGCTGCCTGCCTTGCAAGCACAAGGACCCGGGTTTGATCCCCATTACCAAAAAAAAGAAATTTTGTCACTGAGAGTTTTAACTGTTTTGTCACCAGAGGGATGTACCTCAGCTCTTCCTGGGTTCAATCTCTGCTACTATTAAATAAATAAATAAAATAATTGTAGAATTAATATTGTTACTTAGAAAAAGCCTAGTAGGGCGATGCTTGGGATTTTACTGCATTCACAGTTCAATTTGGAGAGAACTGCTACCTTAACAATGTTGAGTGTCTATGTGCACGGTATATCTCTCCATTTATTTAGATTTCATTTCACATCTTGTGACAATGTTTTTTTATTTTATTTTACTTGTTTTTTTCAGTACTGGGAATTGAATTTAAGACCTTGTACTTGCCAGGATGGCGCAGCACCACTGAGCTACATCCCCAGCCCAGCAGCAATGTTTCATACTCTTAATATAATTAAATGATTTTTTGTTCTACTTATTCCTAAATATTTTATTTTTAAAAAATCACTATGTTCCATCCCCAATACTGCAAAAGGAAAAACAAAACTTATTAGATGCTGGGAGTAAAGGCTTATGCCTGTAATCCCAGCACTCGGGAGGCTGAGGCAGGAGGATCACTGTGAGTTTGAGACCAGCCTGGGCTACATAGTGAGTTCCAGGTCAGTCTCAACTACATAGTGAGACCCTGTCTCAACTCCTACCCCATAAAACTTACTGAAGTATACTTTACAAGCTTTATTTGTCCAATTCACTGAGTTTTAAATGTAAATGAAAAAAGCATGTAACTACCACTGCAATTGTGATAAAGAATAGTTTTAAACCAGGCATAGCAGTATACTCCTTTAAGCCTAGCAGCTCAGGAGGCTGAAACAGGAGAATCCCAAATTCAGCCTGGGCAATTTAGTGAAGCTCTGTTTCAAAATTAAAAAGGACTGGAATGCAGCTCAGTGAGAAGGCCCTGGGTTCAATTCCTGGTATCATAAAAAACAAAACAAAGCAACAGCAACAAAGACAACAGAAAACACTTCCATTACACTAACATGTTCTCTCTGGTTCCTGGCGGTGAACCATTCTAATCCCCTAGTTCTTGGGAACCACAGTTTTGCCATTTGTTGTATACCATATCCATGAAAGCTTTCAGTATGTAATCTTCTGTATGTGACTTCTTTCATTTAGTGTAGTATTTTTGAGATTTATATATAAAACTTTATGAAAAATGTCAGAGGAATTTCCAATATGCTGGTAACATTTTTTTTTGTTGTTGTTTTTTAGTACCGGGGATCGAACACAGGTCCTTGTGCTTGCGAGGCAGGTGGCAGAGCCACTGAGCTAAATCCCCGGCCCCCATTTTGTATTTAATCAGCAATGAATGAGAGTTTAGTGAATTCATACCCTACCCAGCACTTGGTTTTGTTAATCTTTTTAATTCTAGTCATTTGTATTAGAGAATAAGCACCAAAAGGATATAGTTTTGAGAGATTTATTATGTAGAGAGGTTTATCACTAAAGCCAGGGTATAGGGGAATTTAATCAGAGAGGTCATAGGTCCTAAGTGGTTAAGGTGAACTAAAAGTCGGGCCTAAGTGAACAAAAATAGACTATTAGGGCCTAATGAG